CGCATGAAAGGATGCTACAAATAAGCACAGCTGTGGCAGCGAAAATTTAAAAAAAAACGTTTTTCGTTCTTCACCTAAGTTCTCTTTTTCAGATGATATAATATATAAAACATATCAACCTTTTTCAGAAGACTAATTAATTAATTGATCATTTCTTAAACCGCCTACCCGAAAAGCCGAAAAGACAGGTACAATAGATAATGCTAATATTTGACCACAGCACATAAAATATGAAACTTACGTGGAATTTGGTCACAGAAAAGCCCAGGCCCCTTAAGACACTTCTTCTTTTTGCGCTTTTCAACTGCGGATTCCTCCTGAGGTTGTTTCAGATGCTGTTTGCGCACTCCCATTCCCAACTGTCGAACAGCTCGTGTTGCAGAATCTTCTCTAAAATTCATCAGATAAAAAACATCGAATAACACATTTAATAAATCAGTCACCAAGAAAAATAAGTAGTACCTTGTTATGGAAAGAGTTGCTAAGACATCTTAAACATTTTACAGAAAGAGTCGCCTTCACTAAAACCTCTTCGTATTCTCCTATTTCTTCTTCTTCGTCATTTTCTCCATATGCTCTTCTTTATCGTGTCCATATTCATGCTTCGGTCGTCTCTTTTTATTGATCTTCAAGTTCATCCTTTCTTCTTTTACACCGTTTATGATTCACCATTCTTAATTTAATTCTTCATTCTTGCCTTCTTTCTCTTACGCTTCTCTTTACCAACTATCATTCCTCTTTATCTTTTCTTTTTCTTCACCTTTACTTTTTAATCTTGTTCTTCCTCTAAACTTTTGCTTTCCTTATTCTCTGCCTTCTTCCTCTTCCCTTCCTTCGTCTTTTTCAGATCCTTCTTTCTCTTCTTGTTCGTTTCTCTTTTTCTTCCTTTTCATCTTCTTCATTCCTGTTTTTCTTCTTATTCTCCAATCCTCTTCCCTCTGTTCTTCTTATTCTTCCTCTCCGTAACTTCAAATTCTTCTCTTTCTCTCCTTTTTCGTCTTCTTCGTAAGAACTCCATATTTCGTATCTATTTCCTACTTGACTTTCACTACTTAAAACTGAAGACTGTTTTATACCGGTGATTTTATTTACACTAAACTTTGAAACTGCTGACATACTGCTTGATATAGAAAAAAATAACGCGTCATAACAAAACACGCCTTACCGTAACTCTGGCTTCATGAACATATCTACTTTCTGGGTAAATATGCCGTCAGACCACAAATCGTTCTGAAGGCCACGAAACGCCATCATGTGATTGCTTATTTCGGTATTCGTGGTAATGAAACCCTAAAAGCGATTGATAATTTAAAAAATTATCAATACAAAAATGATAGGAAAGAATTACAATTACGTCAAAGCAATTACACCAAAACAGTTTTTAATAGACCCACTCCGCATAGCTATTTGATCATGTCATAAGAAGAGGTTATCATATAAGAATTACACAATTAAGTAAGAATCACATGAAGGGATAAACATCTGAAACGCTACCATAATTCAGTACTTCAGATGAAACGAACCACCAAGCCAGTTGAAATACTTGGTTCCATTATGGCAGCTCTTTCAAGTGTTCTGATAAAGCAGTTTGATAAAAAATATTTTTTCATGAAAACGTTAGCAAGGATAACTTGGTACAGCTAATTAAACGCTGAAACCATGAAATGTTTTGTTTTGCGAAAATGTAAAGCGAGTATTAGCTCTTGTCACCCCTGGTTCCTGTTGTTTACATCCATTATTATGTTTTGTTTTCCTGTTTATAAGGTGGCTCGTTTCTGACTTTATCAGTTCTGCCCGAAGGATGCCAATGATATAATAGTGAAAAAGGTTTAGCTTGTCAATAAAAGTTTTATCATCGGCTTCGTTTCTTTTCTTCAACGATAAATCAAAAACTCAGTTACAGTACCAGCTCACAAAAGTTTGTTCATGACGATCAATGCGTTACTGTGGCAAACAGAACGATACGAGATGCGTCATACACTGCTGATGCTCAAATACCATGTTGCGGCCTTCTTAAATGCCCAATAGACATCTGTGAGTAAGGGGGCAGCGTAATATCTCGCAGGGTCAGGTTTCGAAAGAGCTAACCGTTCGTTACAGTACTCCAACGTCACCTGGAACGGCCGGTATTCAGTGACGAATCGTGCTAAACTTTGTGTCGTCATGAAGTTATGGCAAATTTCTTCCCGTGCCGCTTTTTCTTCTAACCAACATCTAACCGCAAGACAGCTGTGACATTTGCAGCCTTTTTCTCCAAAGGATTTTGCCTAGTCATCAGACTGTCATTGGGCATTGTGACTTTTTTCGACGATCGAACTTGTCGACCTCGAATCTAGTCATGTCCTGGGGGTCTCATCACTGCAAGTCAACGACTTTTATTTGTCGCAGCAAACCTCCATATCTGGAGGTCGTTCCCCATCCGCAACCCTGGTACGCGTCTACTTATACTTAAGAACTTCTTAGCATTTCTAAAGGCAATTTAATAAGCTAACATGCTTAAATGTTTACGTTCGTATTATATCATTCAGGTATTCGATCAGCCAAAAGAGACTGGTAGATGTACATTAAAATTCACGACATTCTTGTCGTTTCATTCATTCTTGTCATCATTATTACAGTACTCTTTCTTGCGTAACGTCCACTATGACATCAAGTCAATCCAATCATGTCACGAAGTGCATGCATTTGTCATGGCTTGAGGAAATCCAAGAAAAAGAGTCAGATCACCTGCAGCACTAATTCTGAAAGGAAGGCTGAAGCAGCCTTCTCCTTTTCACCATGCCACCTGCACTCTGAAAAAAGGATGGAAGTTCGTTGAACAGGAACGACGAATGGTTCATGATGGATGGCATCAGAAAATGAAGAATATATATCATAATTCGCGACTTGGATAACTTGTGTAACTTTGTCATCTTTCTGAGCAGGCGATGACAACTGTCATTATCTAGACATGTCGCCTAGTAATCATAAACAATCGATGTTGTCCACGATCCGTTCGGTTGATCTCTCAATGGTGTGGCATATGTCCTTACTCCATTGATAAATTGCTGAGTAAGGTTTTTATGAACAGCGGATTTTACGTGGAAAAACATCTGATGCATTAGGCTTCCACTGCAACAGTAGTATATTTTTGAAAGTAAACAACTATTTTATGTACGAGATGAACAAAAGAAATTCATCTTTCACCAGTTCATCATTAGACTTGAGATCGATATACCTGAGGAAAGACCGTCCAACCGGAATCCCACAGCAAAAGCACAGACAGGGACAGATCGAGGACCATCGAGGCTTGATTTTGTTAAGGATGTGAGTGTCCCCGTAGTGCCCTCAAATATAGCCGCGGAGGACGGGTATCAGTAGAAAAAACTTATGGAGCAGCTACCCTCGCCATTCGAAAAGAATAACG